GGGAACTATTTGACCTCAACATTGGATTATCGAAGGAACCTCATCTCACCAGAAGAACCTCTTCGGGAGCAGGTGCAGATGGTGCTGAAAGGGATTATTCGTTGAACACTCACCACAGTTTAACGACATTCTGATGATGACGAGGATGACGTTCGATAAATACAACACCAGCCGAACTTCCTGCACATATGTATGAGGTGATTATGATGCAATGTATGAGCCTGAATTTCCAGATCTTCCTGATGTTGGAAAACTATGGACTTCAATCATCAGTCAATGACGGTAATTTACATATTGGAATGGAGTTCGCATCGAAGGAGGAAGCAATGATGAAATAAAGATACAATATTTCGTAACTCAGTTCAGTCCCGGTGATCGATCTAACACGGAGAAATATGTCTGTACCGTCCAACGTCACAACGGATGTCAATGGATGGTCCGTGTATCAAAGAGGAAGAGGAAGAACAACTTATGGGAACTAACCAGATACAACGGTCCTCATACATGTTGTGCAACAGGTATAAACCAGATCATCCCAACTTGGACTCCAATATTATTTGTCAAGCAATCATGCCCATGTGAAGCAAAGCTCTCATATAGCTGTTGCAGTGTTGATTTTGCTATACAGTCCCAATATGGGTACACTGTCTCATAAAAAAAGCGTGGTTGGCAAAACAGAATGCCATTTGCAAACTTCATGGCGAATGGGATTCCTCTACAACGAGCTGCCCAGTTGGTTTCATGTTGTGCAAAGACTTAATCCCGGGACAATGTTGAGTTCGAAACTCACATCATTACGTGAATGATCGAATGGTTCGCGATCGCTGCCAATTTACGATCTTTTGGACTTACCTCAGTGTATTAATGCAGTCAAGTACTGTAAACCAATTGTCCAAATTGATGGTACTTTCTTGTATGGGAAATACAAGCAAGTTTTATTATTGGCTGTGGTCCAAGATGGAAACCGCAATATTCTTCCTGTTGCGTTTGCCCTCGTTCAAGGAGAAGACACTGAGTCTTGGGCTTTTTCCTTAAAAATTTACGTTACATGTTGTCACCAGGGAACGAGTATGCATTATTTCAGACCGAGGAGCCGGGATAAACAGCAGCAATGGACTCTTTGGGTACAATGTATAGACCTCCACATGTTCAACATCGTTATTGTGTCGTCATATGCTGCAAACTATTACGGAAATACAAGAAGAACGATGAACGTCAGTAGTCGTGCGGATGGGTATGTTACTTTTTCCCAATTTTTCTATCATTTCTTATTACTTATTTAGACTTCATTAAATATTACATATTCCTAATGACTTAGGTTACGAACTCTTACCTCAAAGGTTTGAGTCGATGCTACAAGAGCTGTTTGGCAAAAATAAGAAGGGGTGCGAGTACATTATGGACATCAGCAAAGAAATGTGGACAATGCATATGACGGGGGGTATCGCTATGGTCATATGACAACAAACTTGGCTGAAGCAATAAATTCAACCTTAAAGGGGGCGCGTCATTTACCAGTCACGGCGTTGGTCAAAACGACTTATTTTCGTTTGGGTCAACTCTTTGCAAAACTCGGTGGACAAGCTCTTACTTGGATGCAAAACGGACATTTACCACCCAAGACTAGTAGCCGATTTACAGAAAAAAATGGCTACATCAAATGGGATGTTAGTTACAAATTTTTCTCGCACCCGTGAATTGTTTCGTGTAACCGAAATGCCACGTCCGCTGCAAGGGATTGAAGCTAACTCTTCAGAGTTAATCTGCAAGAGAGGTGGTGCGATTGTGGTTTCTTTCAAGCACTCAAATATCCATGCTCTCATGTCATTGTGCTTGCTCACATTCGCATTTGGACTACAAAAATTATGTTGATCCCGTATACCAACTTTCACAAGTTTTCAAGGTATATGAATTTGAGTTTCCGCCCATAGGAAACGAAAGAGACCCAAATGAGATTCAAACTTGGCTTACAATTGTCCCAGATCCATTGCTATTGAGGGACTCAGGTCGTCCAAATCTACTAGAATACATTGTGATATGGATATTCGGGAGAAGTCAACAGAACAAAAACGATGTGGGCATTGTAGAAACATCGGGCACAATAGAAAAAAATGTCCAGCTGTTTCATCATAACCGTTAACTCTTATGTAATTAAAGTTTTTAAATGAATGTTTTTATTTCTAATAATTTAATGTTATTGCATTTATATAATTTGTCAATGTATGTACACCTAAATAATTTTTTTTAACTTTTAAATACATAAATATATTAATATATTTATTTAATATAAATTTAATATTATTAGTTATAATTTTTTTTAAAATATAATAATTCCACCTTCTAAGTAGAGAAAATATTAATTAAACAAATTAAAAGTTATTAAAAATTTATGTATACTATGACACATTTCATGTTTGATTGGAGGATTAAATTTATTAAATTAAATTTTCAATAAGACTAATTTTATAAAATATGTAAGTCTTGAAGATTAAATATGTATTATACTAATTTATTAACTTATGCATCAATATTTTCGTTAAATATTGATATTAGATGACTAGATTGATAACATTTAAATAATTAACTGGTAAAATTAATAGATCGATAATCAAAATCAAAAAATACTCGAAACTTGATAATTCTTACATTATAATCGAAACATTTTACATAATATATATTAATTTATAATAATAATAAAAATAAACTATTATTTAAAAACAAAATACGTGTCTGCTGAGTTGGCAAAGGCGCGTCCCCGGGGACGCGCCTTTCACACGTGGCATCCAACTAAGCGAAAAAAAACCGGGTAAAGCGCGCCCCCGGGGACGCGCCTTTGCCAACTCAGCAGAAAGGGTGCTAGTTTTGGAAATATTGATCGAACGGTGTTAGAAAAGTAAAAATAAAAAGGTGGGGGTAAAAAAGCCCCCTACATTGACTAGTTTCATACAGATTTACAATACAGCACGTGTTAAACAATAAGCTACCAGATATTATTAAATGGGGCAAAAAGATGGTCAAGTGCCTCATAAATTAATTTATAAAAAATATTTTGTTTAGCAATTTTTAAGGTTTTTTTACAGAAAAATATTATACAAATATGATTGTTAGATGAAATTGGACCGAATATTTAATGTATTATTTTATTAGATTTTATTAAATTAACTAATAGTTGATGATAAATAATATTTTTATTTAATTATAGTGCTTAACACAATATTTTTATTAAAATTGTTCAACAATGAGGATTGAATCCTCGATCATTTTGATTAAGGTAAGAGAGATTAAGAACGGCAACTGGTCATATTAAATTGAATTTTTATTAATTTGTCGATTCGAGAAATATATTCTTTCTATTCAATTCTGATTCAATTCGAGTTTAGAAATGTTTCATGTGATCTTGTAACTAAAATTTTGGGTTAAAAACTCGGATTCGATTTGATTTGAGTTTACATAGGTCCCTAAATTCAACATGGTTTTTTTGGGTAAAAACTTGCATCCATCACATTAATTGAGGAAAAAAAAGATAGGGCAAGCCAAAGTCATTGAGGTGACTTGTCTAAGCATTATCACCACAAAGCTAGAAGTAAAATGGACTGCAACCTGGCCAGGGACCAAGTCTAGTGCGGAATAAAAACACGTTTAACAGGAATTTTGGTACGTTGCTTTTCTTAAGGAACCTATGCCCTTTCGTTTTCATCATGTACTATTGTTAATTCCTTTTATTAATCATACATATTTGTTTTTTTTTAAATTGAGAGAGACTTTAAGTCATGGAATTAAGCAGGAACATGCTTATAAAAAGGGTACCGATAATGTCCCGAACTAGGAGTTCTTAGATGCCAGGTAGGGATGGTAAACGAACGGATCGGGTGCAGATACTCCCTCCATCATCCTTATATCCACCTAATATTTTAAAATTCATCACCCGCCCACCACCCGTGATGGGTAAATTTTTGAAATACACACCCACACATTCTCAAATCCTTCTCTACACCCACTACCCAACTGGAGACGTACCCGGCTAGACTTGCTTGATAGCAACCTTAAGTTATACATAAGCAACAAACATAAAACAAACACGTCCATTAAGAAATATAATAAAATAAACCAAAGATTATCTGAGTTAAGTGTTAACATAGATCTTAAAGTACATAAAACACGATAATAAAAGACTAGAAACATAAATGACAAACATATAATATTTTTGTTTTTTAGCACACATAAATGACAAACCCTAAAATTATATATAAATTTATAATGATCCAAAATTTAATGGGTATTTAGTGGACGGACGGATGTGGGGCGGGTAAGGTCTCAAACTCATCACCCGCCCACTACCCGCGCATGTACCACTTTCTAAATCCACACCCGCCCACTACCCACTAAAGTTATATCCATCCCCGCCCCAATTGAAGCGGGTACAGTGCGAAATCCATGAAATTGTACCCGTTTGCCACCATAACGATTAATAAAAGAAAATGAATGTTAAATGGTGGTGAATCGACAGACAAGATTCGAGGTGTAATAGGACTTGAAAACTTGTTTATACAATCAACAAACCATATATAAATTTTTTAACCAGTAGAAATAATAACACGCTAAGAAAATACCAAAATAAAATGACATTTTATAATTTAGAGATCCATATAAAGTATTTTAAAATTAAGGGATTAAATTAGAATAGAAGTTATAGTTTGAGGACCTTGTGTGCCAAAAGATGGCATTATAAGGAAGCCAAATTTGGAGAGAGGCGATGAAGATAAAGATTTCAATCCATACACGTTCAACGGTAATAACTGTTTTTCTCTCTTAAACCTTGACTTGTTCAAGACAACACGTTGTCTCCTCCCTCTGCCTCTCTTCTCTTACCGTCCCCTCACAAAAGGAAAAAAACATGAACAAAAGATAACCCGACACACAATGAAGCAAACACAGCCACAAAAATACATTTCTTCACTGTCAAAAACTACTAAAAATACATTGCCGAAAACATTTCACCAATGCCATTTCTTCACCTGTATATGCTTTCTTTCTTGTTTCTCCTGTTGCCGCCATCGACGTTTTCGATACCCGAACGCGAACTGGAATCCTTGTTACTGCTCAAGAAACATTTCACCAATGCCGGCGCTCTCAGTTCTTGGATGCCCGGTTCAGCGCCTTGCAATGGACGAACACACTGGACCGGATTGCTCTGTTACAATGGCGTCGTCATCGGTTTGAACCTCATAGGGATGGGATTATCGGGGAACATTAAGGTCGAGGCCTTAGCCGAGATCAAGGGATTGCGTTCTTTCAGTGTCGTTAATAATTCTTTCCAGGGCGACATTCCGGAACTCAATCGTTTGGTTGAATTGAGGGCCTTGTACTTGTCCGGCAATCAATTTTCCGGCGAAATCCAGCCTTATTATTTTAGTGAAATGGTGTCGTTGAAGAAAGTTTGGTTGTCGAACAACAAGTTCACCGGGAGCATCCCGCTTTCGCTCGGTCAGTTGCCTCATCTCGTCGAATTACGACTAGAAAACAATCAATTCAGCGGACATATCCCGGCTTTTTATCGTCCGAATTTGGACTACATCAATTTATCGAACAACAAACTCGTGGGGGACATTCCTTTTCGATTATCGAAATTCAATGAGAGCTCGTTCGCAGGGAATCCGGGTCTTTGCGGGAAGAATTTGGGTGTTGAATGTGCCAAACCAGTAGAGAATTCGACCTCATTGAAGACGGATCCAGACGAGGCTGTTATGAAACCTAATAAAAGAAGTTCCCAAAAGTATCTTGCTGCATTCATAGTATTAGGAATGATGTTAATAACAGTGATTATCTTAGCTGCAATTGGATGGATGAAGAAAAAGAAGGATACGGATGCATCGGTGCTGGTACCTGCAGGACGAAGCTCCGGTGATCCCATCGAAGTACGGGTCACGGTACCGATAGTGAAAGAAGTGGAACCAAACAGAAAAAGTAATGCAAGTTCAAGCTCAAGCTGCAGAGGGTCTAATAATCTTAAGGCCAGAGGCAGCAGCAGTGCGGATCTCGTCATGGTAAACGACGAAAAGGGTGTTTTCAAGTTGGCAGATTTGATGAAAGCGGCCGCGGAAGTGCTCGGGAACGGAGGGCTAGGAACTTGTTATAAGGTCACGGTGACTAATGGAGTTGAGGTGGTGGTAAAAAAGATGAGAGATATGAATGCATTAGGGAAAGATGATTTTGATAAGGAAGTTAAAAGGCTTGGAAAGCTACGGCACCCCAATATTTTAACGCCTTTAGCTTACCATTACCGCCCGGGGGAAAAGCTTTTTGTTTATGAATACCTTCCTAATGGCAGCTTGCTTTACCTTTTGCATGGTATGAAATTTTATCTTTTGCTTTCGTATCTCGATTTTTTTATGTTAATCGGACCACAAGGTTGTCGGAAACTTTGTGTCCCGAATTTATTCGACGTTGTCTTTTCTATGTATGCTTTAAGTTGTTATGTCGAATAGGTGATCGTGACTCGTCCCATGTCGAGCTTGATTGGCCTGCAAGACTAAAGATTGTGCAGGGAATCTCCAGGGGACTAGATCATCTTCACATGGAACTTTCTTCGCTCGAGGTACCTCATGGCAATCTCAAATCGAGCAATGTTCTACTCAGCCCCGATAATCATCCGTTTCTCTCGGACTATGGATACCGGCCGTTAGTAAACACCAAAGGGACTGAAGCCCTGTTTGCTTACAAGACTCCGGAAGCTACACAAGGAGGAAAAGTATCCCCTAAAAGTGATGTATATTGTTTAGGAATTATCATTCTTGAGATCCTTACAGGGAAATTCCCTGCTCAATATCTTAGGCATGACGAAGGCGGAACTGATGTAGTCCAATGGGCGGAATCAGCACTTTCGGAACGGAGGCAGGATGAACTGCTCGATCCGGAGATAACCGAAGCCCAAAATTCATCACTCGGCAACATGGAGAGGCTCCTCCATATAGGCTTGCTATGCACTCAAACTTGTCCCGGGACTCGTTTAGAATTGAAAACAGCCATTAAAATGATAGAGGAGCTGCAGGTAGATGGAGGTCAGTAGCTCAACTAGTTTTTCGAGAAGGGAACGATGAGCACACGACCGACCGACGAGGAGACGTCGGCTCGGAAAGCTTAGAAGATTTAGATTAGGACGTTGACGATGACCGATAGTTTCGTCTTCACCATCTCGTACGTAAATAGAAGTTTTGATTTCTGTGACGTTGAAACATTTCTGTATATAATGTCAACGTAGAATGAGTTGCAGTGGCTTGTACAATGACTTTATAGACCTTTACCATTAGTGCAAGGATCAAATGGTCGGCGGTAGCCACTCGCGTAACTCATAATTAAATTGGGGAAGCACCCACCCAAAACTTTCAAAATACATTTTTTTTAAAATTATTATCTAATAAAACTATAGATAAAGTATACTAGAGGTCATTAAATTAGGTAAAATTGATCTATTTGGTCATAGATATTTCAAATATTGCAAAATTATCTTTTTTTTTTTTGATAAGTCAATTTTATTATCCAAATAGCATAAGCTATAAAATACAATCAGAGTCATTACAGATCAAATATACAAAAAGAATCAATGATCAGCAATATTCCAGTGATTGCAGAGGTTAATATTCACAACAAGAAATCTGTTAAATGTTCTACCACTTAAGTGAACACTAACAACATCTTTAATAGCTTTAAGTAAATCTTCAATTGTCCTAGATCGTCCTTGAAACAAACGTTTGTTCCTCTCTTCCCATAAGAAATACACTAGAGTGTTCAAGGCCAGTTTCATAACCAAAGAAAACAAAGATTTTTGTTTCCAGTTGTTGCGTGCCTGTGTCAAGAACTCATCCCAGGAGCAGGCAGCAAAGTTCAAACCAGAAAATGAGAAAATAGACTCCCAAAGGGAAGCAACAATAGGACAAGATAGGAAGAGATGATCTCTGGATTCTGGTTCAGTAGAACATAAAACACAGATAGTATCGTTAGTCACTCCCATACGTTGTAATCTTACCTTAGTAGGAAGCTTGTCCAGAAAAGCCATCCAGGTAATGAGGCTATATTTTGGGATATGCAAGGGGAACCATAACAGTTTTTGCCAAGGAACCTTAGGTCTCCTTTCTCGGATTGAATCCCAAATGGTACTGGCAGTAGCAACTCCTGAAGACAGCAATTGATGAACCTCTGGCCGCATTTTTAGTAACCTCTTCGTGCACCAGCTTGTACTAGAATTAATCTCCACATACCAGAAGTTATTGTCCTTAAAAACGTAGAAATTAAGCCATGCAACCTAAAGAGATCCTTGTCCTGCAAGAATTTTCTTGATAAGAATGATCATGCAAGATTTATTCCAAGTCTTCATATTTTTAATTCCAAGCCCCCCTTCGGATTTCAAACAACAGATATTTGACCAGCTTACTCTTGCATTTGTGGTTGCTTTGTCTGACCCTTTCCAAAAGAAACGGGAGCAAAGCTGCTCGATCTTGGCCAGCACAAAGTTAGGCAGAAATAGTTGTCTGCACCAGAAATTTGAAATAGATGAGAGCAATGTTCTGATTAGTTCTAGTCTTCCAGCATAGCTCAGGAGTTTAGTAGACCAGTGGTTCAATTTAGATTTGATGTTGTCAATAAGGTTCACACGGTGCTTGTCAGAAAATTTTCTAGTAGTCAGAGGGATGCCAAGATATCTAATAGGAAGGGAGCCAAGGTTAAAGTCAGAAATCTATTTTATGTTATCTTTTGCAGCAGAGGATAACCCAGCAGTAAAAACTTCAGTTTTTGAAACGTTGAGTTTGAGTCCAGACATCTCATAGAAATATTCTAACACACTCGTGACACCAAGCACAGATTCCACACTTCCTTTGCAAAAAATGAGGAGATCGTCAGCAAAAGATAGATGGGTCAAACCAATTCTTTTGCACTTAGGGTGAAAACTAAAAATTCCTTTAGAAGATGCAAGATTGCGAAGTTTAGAAAGAACATTAATGGAGAGTACAAATAATAAAGGAGATAGAGGGTCTCCTTGTCTAAGACCTTTAGCACCCTTAAAATAGCCTGACAGACTTCCATTAAAGGAAATAGAGAAGCTAGGGGTGGTAAAACGAGTTTCCAGCCAAGAAGAGAAAATAGATGGAAGGCCGATTGCTTTCAAGATGGCTGAAACAAAATTCCAATTGAGAGAATCAAATGCCTTATGAAGATCAGTCTTCAATGAGCATCTTGGAGATATATTTTTCCTATTGTAACCTCTAATCAACTCCTAAGCAAGTAAAGTGTTGTCAATAATGTTCCTTTCCTTAACAAAAGCTGATTGATAAAATATCATTAAAATTTTTAAATGATTATAAAATATTCTCTGCAATGTTAAAATGATAACAAATTTTGATAGGTTTGAAGACCATTTTTGTAACAGCTCTATAAATTTAAAGATCATTTTGTAACAGTTTAATATGTTTTAATGATTATTTGATTATTACTTAAAAATTTAATAATTATTTTATAATATTTGAAATGATAAATATTAACAAAATTATTTTTTTACATAATTTAAGCTCGTGTAATAATAACAATATTATTGATGAAAACAAATCAATTATGACAATAACATACAATTTATTCTTTTGATTTAAACAAAGAATCGCAATAGATTTAGGTCGATCATTAACTGATAATATTATAAAGATATTATATAATGAGTGCGAGGATGATAATAAGGGGAGAAGGAGATAATCCCTTTTCTACCTACCATGATATTTATATAATGATCTTTAGGAGAAGTAAATACTTGATTTTGAGGGTTGAGTACCATGTTTGGCAAGTTTCGGAGTCAAGTTCGGGTCACAAAATTACTTTTAATCGAGTACGTGCCGACTGGTCGATCTTGTTCTTCTTTTTTATTTTATCACTATTTTTATTTTAAATTAAGTTTTCAATTTCTAATTTCAAAATTATTTCACCTTAACGTTTAAATTATTTTAAATTTAGTTGTAATTTCATAATATTATTTTTATATTTCATTTTAGATTATATAATTTGAATTATAAATTTATGTTTATATTATGTATTATAAGTTTTTAAGTTTTTAATTTTAAGTGGATTTTTAAAAAAAAATTAATATAAATTAATAAAATAAAATAAAATAATTAATCAGGTACCCATGATCCAAAAATATGAGTATTCATGTTTTATGGGTATTCGACTTGCTGGTACCCACTTTTTACGGGTCGAGATATAAGTTGTATTTTTGTGGCCCAAAAGTCCCGAATATCCTACATTTTGAGTAACTGAAAATACTTATATTCAAATTTAAACACTCTCCTACTTGTTAGAGGTAATATCAAAATATTACTAAAAGGTTGTTTGGTTCGGGGAATGTGGGATTCCCATGGGAATGAAATCTACATTCCATGTTTGGTTGGCCGGTAATCTCATTCCCGGTAATGTAAGATTACCAACAGTGGATTTTTTAGGGTATATTACCGGGAATATCATTACTTCCCTTCCCTTAGGTATTGTTGGATTACCGGCATTTTGAACTAAAATGTCCTTAAATTTTTTTCAAAAATATATTTATTCTGTCATTGAATAATAAAAAGTCTACGAAGGTTAAATTACAAATTTATCCTTAAACTATTTTAGATTTACAAAAAAAGTCTAATTAAAATTTTATATGAAGTTCAGAGGTTAAAATAAAATTTTACCCTTTCATTAAACATTTTATATTTTCAATTTTGTAAAAAAGTTATATAAATTTTATGAATTTAATTTTTTTTAAAGAAAATATATAAATATTTTCCAACTTGTTAAAAAATAAATATATAATAAGGATAATTTGGTCAAATATACATTCTAATAATCTTTTATTCATTTAACCAAACACGGTAATCTTACATTCCTTCTAAACGAACCAAACACAAAATACAACATTCCCAGTAATCCTATTCGTTAGTAATCTTTTATTCTCTCTGATAATCTTACATTCCGCGAAACGAACTATAATGCATGTGGTCTCCTATATCTCATGTTTGAAAATATTTTTCTGCAGAAAAATTTCCTTTAAAGAAGTTATTTATAATACGGAGCGATTTTTTTTAAAAGAATAATATATATTAAATTAAAATTAGTAAAATTAACATTTTAATTAAAATAATTAATAGTTTTAATTATTTAGACAGAGTTAGGATGCTATAAAAGTAAACGATTGAGTTATATCAAAGGATCAAACCTCAAATTCAGATATGTTAGAAAGATGAAAAACATAAATTTTATCCAAAAAGAAAATAGTCAAAATTGAGAGTCCAACAAAACAATAAAACCATGAAAAAGAATTCCACAAAATAGACCCACTTTCCTTCTTCTTCAGGTTCAGACAAAAATCCCATCAGCAACCTTACAAGACCACCGCCCACTTTACATAACTCAGTATTAACTGTCTTTCCTTTCCCTTTCTCTTCCCCAACAAAAGGAACCTCCGCCCCACCTCCGCCGTCACCGCCAAAGACCCAGACTTTTCCTCTTTCTTTTCTTACCGAAGAAAAATAACAAAAGGTTCAAAGCTTAATTCTTTTACTTTATCTAAACTTCTCCCAGATTTCAAAAGGTTTTTTTTTTCTTTTGTAAATTCTGCAGTTTTTCTTTTGGGGGAGGTTTTGGTTAGTGGAAGTTAATAATGGAGTTGCCGGAGAATCCTAATAAGGATAGTAACGGCTACGAATCGGCTGAGAAAATAATCCTACGGTGGGATTCAACTGCATCGGAGGATGCAAGAGAGAAAATGATCTTCGAAACGAATCCTCACGAAGCCGATCTTTACCTACAAGCTGTCGATGAAATCCAACGGTTCTTATCCCACGCATCAATCTCCAACAACGCCGCCGCCTCCACCGATGACCAGTTGAAAGTCAACTCCACGATCCAGATCGCCATGGCTCGTCTCGAGGACGAGTTCCGCAACATCCTCATGACTAACTCGTCCGCTTCCCTTTTCGATCCCTCATCTTCATTTTCCACCTCTTCTCACCATGAGCTCGAAGAAGACGATACAGTAAGCAACGAAGACAGCAGTCACAACGGTCTCCTTCAGCTTCAGCATTGTGAATCATCCGATAGCTCCACTTACCGATCTACGAGCAGTATCCGAGAAGTGGATCTGATGCCGGGCGAAGCGATTTCCGATCTGCAAGCGATCGCGACGAGGATGATCTCGTCTGGGTACTTACGAGAATGCATTCAAATGTACGGCAGCGTCAGGAAATCGGCCATCGATTCGAGTTTTCGGAAACTCGGAATCGAGAAACTCAGTATCGGAGACATCCAAAGACTCGAATGGGAAGCTTTGGAGAGTAAAATCCGGCGTTGGATTCGAGCTGCCAAAGTCTGCGTTAGGATTTTGTTTGCCAGCGAGAAGAAGCTTTGTGAGCTAATTTTCGAGTGCGTCGGAACGGATATTGATGATGCTTGTTTCATGGAAACAGTGAAAGGGCCTGCAATTCAGTTGTTTAACTTCGCGGAAGCCATAAGTATAAGCAGGGGATCCCCTGAAAAGCTTTTCAAGATACTTGATTTGCATGATGCATTGATGGATTTGTTGCCTGATATCGAGGCGGTTTTCGTTTCAAAATCATCTGATTCCATTCGAGTTCAGGCTGCCGAGATTTTATCGAGGTTAGCCGAGGCAGCTCGAGGGATTCTATCCGAATTCGAAAGCGTGATTTTAAGAGAGCCATCTAGAGTACCTGTCCCTGGTGGAGCCATCCATCCTTTGACTAGGTATGTGATGAATTATATCAGTTTGATATCTGATTATAAGCAGACATTAATTGAGCTTATACTGTCGAAACCATCTACTGGTTCGAGGTATTCTGGTGATCAATCGACCCCGGATATGGAGTTCGCCGAGTTGGAAGGGAAAACTCCTTTAGCTTTGTATTTGATTTGGATTATAGTAGTTTTGCAATTCAATTTAGAGGGAAAGTCTAAGCATTATAGAGATGCTTCTTTGGCACATTTGTTTATCATGAATAATGTTCATTATATTGTTCAGAAGGTTAAAGGGTCACCCGAGTTGAGGGAAATGATCGGGGATGATTACTTGAGGAAGTTGACGGGGAAGTTTAGGCAGGCGGCGACGAGTTATCAGAGAGCAACTTGGGTGAGTGTTTTGTATTGTTTGAGAGACGAAGGGTTGCATGTGAG